AAAGGTAAAAAGTGATACTGAAAAACTTAAGGGTCTCAATTATAAAGTTAAAAAGTGAGATTAAAAAAAATAGAGGCCTCAACTATAAAGGTAAAAAAACGGATTGAAAAAATTAGAGACTTCAATTATAAAAATAAAAAGTGAGATTGAATAAAATTAAGACCTCAATTATAAAGATTAAAAATAAGATTTTAAAAAAATTTAGAGGCCTAATTATAAAGATGAAAAAATGTCTTATAAAATATGAACCTAATGTTTTAAGCATAAATGTGACAAATGGTTAATCTTAATCTCTTCAAACCGGCTATATCTATTCAACCATTGCTTCACTTAAAAATATAATAAAAGGGAAGTGTATGTCCATAAGATTGCGGGAAATGATCACGTGTGACATCCTTAATATAAGACTAAAAAAAAGACACTATTGATTTTGTTATTATTTAAATAACAAAATCAGTAAAAAATTACTAGAAATATTATTATTTCTACTGATTTTGTTATTATTGGACACTTTAGTTATTGTTAGGCACTTTACCGGAAATGTAAAAAAAAATTGATGTTTTAGATAATTTTTTATCGGTTTTATTATTTAAATAATAACAAAACCGGTATCGCTTTTTTTTACTTAAAAATATAATAAAAGGGAAGTGTATGTCCATAAGATTTTCGAAAATGATAACTTACGACAGTCTTAATATACGGCTAAAAAAAATGCTGTCGATTTTGTTATTATTTAAACAACAAAACCGATAAAAAAAATCACCGGAAACATTATTATTTCAACCGATTTTATTAATAAAACCGGTAAAATGCTACCAATTTTATTATTGTTGGACACTTTACCAGAAATGTTAAAAAACATTGATGTTTTAGGTAATTTTTTTTACCGATTTTATTATTTAAATAATAATAAAATCTGTAACATATTTTTTTAACTGTATATTAAGGACGTCGCATTATAAAACTTCCCTAAAATTGCTCTCTCCACAATAAATTAGACTGCAAAAGTCTCGAGTTTATTGTCTAATTCGGAAATGTTTTATTTTATTTTTTGCTTAAATGTCCCATTACCCCTTTAATTATATCATTTGTATCAAGTTGTCCTTTAAATTATTTTTCAGGACATTTTATCCCTTTAATTATAAATTGTTACTATATTTATCCGAAATCGTTAACACCGTTAAAAAAAAATATTCGAACCAATCATAGCACGCCATGTCACATCTTAATTATTATTATTTTTATCTAAATAAATAAAAATCAAATAATAAAACAAAATAAGTAAACTACTGAAATTGTCCGTCTTTTCTATCTCCAGCATCTACCCCACCCTCCTTCAGCTCCAGAAAAACACCGGCCACAGTCATCACCCGCGGCAGCCGCTTGTGTTCATTAGGTTGACCAAGGAAATTACCAAACACTAGATCTAAGAGATTGGTATATGATCTTGATATCATCTTTAACCCTCCTTTTAAGTTATCATCCACAACAAGAATCAATCACAAAGATCTTAAAAACTAAAGAACATTTTCAACAAAAAACATCATCTTTAAACGAGAATCACAGAAAACAAAATAAATCCATGAATAAATTCTATCCAAAATATAGAGCAACCCAACTGAATATTATATTAGAAATCAATCAAAACAAATCTAAAAGGGCAATAGCTTTCTGGAGTCAAATCAATTCAAATTAATGGGAGCAAGTATTCAAATTTAAAATAATAAAATATGAAACTTTGAAACTAACCTCTCTCTTCAAAGCACAAGTTTATGCCTTTAATGAGAACCTTTGGATCCAAAAATGAAAATTTTGAGGGGAAAGTCTGAAACTTTGAAATTGGGTTGGAATTTGGCAAGGGAAATTGAGATTAGGGTTTATAAAATCCGGGGAAATTTCCTTGGTCAACCTAATGAACACAAGCGGTTGCCGCAGGTGATGACTGTGGCCGGTGTTATTTCGGATCTGAAAGAGGGTGGGGGGAAGGAGGAGGATGTTGATGGTGAAGATAGAGAAGAGGGGTAATTTCGGTAGTTTACTTATTTTGTTTTATTATTTAATTTTTATTTATTTAGATAAAGAAAATAAAAATTAAAAAGTAACGTGGTGTGTTCTGATTGATTCGAATATATATTTTTTTAACCGTGTTAATAATTTAGGATAAACAAAATAACGATATATATTTGATGGGGGCAAAACATCTCGAAAATTACTTAGAGAAAACTCGGTACAAATGATTTTGTTGAGGCAATTGAGCATTTAAGCCTTTATTTTTCTCAATAATATATTGAAATTCAAAATGTGGCTGAGTGGAGGCTGCGATAGGTCAAACATTAAAGTTGGGATAAATAATATAATCAATGAATTGTCCAACTCTTTGCTCTATAGAATGAACCATCTAAAATTGTGTTTTAGTCGTAATTAGAATTACGGAATTGATTTTTTTTTGAATTTTTATATTTGTTTATCGTAATTGGAATTACGGATTGGTTTTTTCATGCTTGTTTCAAGTAATTTGTTTTTTGGAAAATGTTTTCCCGTGTTTGTTTCACGTAATTCGTTTTTTGGAAAATATTTTCCCGTGTTTATTTCACGTAATTGTTTTTCCGGAATGTAATTCATTTTCCTACTAACAAAATTTCCTTTGTGTTTTCTGTAAAATGACTTACGGATTCATTTTCCGTAAGTCATTTTCCGAACTTTTCACTTCAAAAAATAAATACTCAAAATAATTTTATTTTATGAATTTAATATTAATAAAATATTTTAATATCATTTTCATCAAAAATATTATTTATTTATTAATATTTATAATAATATAACATAATATTTTAATATTATATAAAATAATCAATTATATTATAATAATATAATATAAGATATTATATTTTTATTTTAATAATATATAATAAAAAAATTTATATATTTAATAATGAATAATATTATTTATATATTTAAATAATATTTTAATAAAGATATTTAAAATATACTAATTAATATTTTTAAAATATAATATAACACTATTACTTTAATAAATAATTAATATAATTTATAATATTTTATTTCACTAAAATATACAAAAAGTATTATTTTTATTAATAAAATTATAAAAATAATATTTAATAATAAATAAATTGTTTTAATATTTTAAAATAACAATATTAAGTTTTATGATAAATAATATTATTTATTATATTTAATATTTGTAATAAATAATTTTTAAAAAAACTCTTCAACTAGTGGAAAAAAAGTTTAAATAACATCTTCCAAATATCATAAAACGTTTTCCAGATGTTTTTCAGAAAAATGTAATTCATTTTACGAAAAATATTTTCCAGAAATGTAATTCATTTTCCAGAATTCAAATTCCAGTAATTCATTTTCCAGTTCCAGTAATTCAAATTCCAATAATTCAAATTCCAGTAATTCATTTTCAAAAAATCAATTACAGCCAAACAAACAGACCATAATTTCACCTCAACCGGTATTATTCGCTGCAGAAGATGTCGCACATATGTGAATCCTTATGTCACTTTTACAGACGCTGGAAGAAAGTGGCGCTGCAATATCTGTGCTTTACTAAATAACGGTAAACTCACCTAACCTAGGAAGCAAAGATATTTCTCCATGGTTGAAACTTGAAAGTGAAATTAGTAATGTGTACAAATACATTCTTTTATATGTTATAAGCATTCTCTTCTCTCTTTGGAATGTCCAATTCTATTGAAGGGCAAAGCAAAGAGCTCTTGCTTCACTTATGCAGACTTGCTTTAATAGTAGATGTCAATTTTCTACAGCCTTGCTTGTTTCGGGAATCTACCTCTACGTTTAGTTTGAACTATCTCAATTCATTGTTAAAGTGCAATGCTTTTTTTTATTATTGTTGGATGTGAATGGAATTCAATATAGCATGCCAATTGCCAACTAGCCATTTTCTTTCCTTATCAGCTATTAGTGCACAATATCAGATCTTCTATATAAAACGCTGGCTTGTTTTATCTAGTGTTTGAGTATCATATATTTATTTCCGTTTGGTAGTGGTAGATTGACCGGCTGTGGTTTCATACATGCCTGTAAATATAAGGCATGAGATTAATTTGCCTTGTTATTGCATCGGATGTGAAATGGTGAAACTGTTGAAAAATTAGAATCCAAAAATCGTACAAATCCAAACCGAATCAAACCGCACTTAATTGGATCGGATCGAATTTTTTTTAAAAACATCCAAACCGCAAACATTTATACTTTCGGATCGGATGAATTTTTAGCCGAAAACCGATCCAATGCGAACATAGCCTTTTTGGGTACTCGAATATCCACAAAAAACCGCGGGTATAGCACGCGAAACAAACTTATCATTCGTTTTGGGTCTAGTGGCACAACATAAACACCCAAAAACATGAAGATGGGAAAAATTCAGAGGTTTATTATATAAAATTTCAAAATGAGACTTCCAGTTTAAAACCGAGGAAGGTAACCTTTTAATAATGTAACAAACAGTGAGAACGCACTCCCCCTAAAATTTTATAGGTACCTTAGAATGGAAAGGTAACGCTCTAGCAACCTCCAAGATATGCCTATGTTTTCTTTCAGCTATCATATTCTTCTGGGGAGTTTTAACACGAGCTTTTGTGGATAACCCCAAGAGAAGAAAAAACAAACACTCAGTATTAAAAAATTTGGTACCAGTATCACTACGAACAATTTTAACCAAGACAGAAAACTGATTTTGAACAAGCTAAAAAATGTTTCAAGACAGAGACAATATCACTTTTATGCTTCAGCAGGTACACCCAAACTTATTCTGGTACAATCATCAACGATAGTAAAGAAAAGATCAACAACCATTATAAGTAGAAATTCGATAAGGGCCCCATAAATCAATGTGAATGATTTAGAATAGAATATCAGACCTAGAAACACTCCTTAGAAACGGTAGTCGAGTTTGCTTAGCCAAAGGGCACACAATACACTTACGCACACAATCTTGATTAAAATTGTAAGACTTTAAAAACTCCACTTTATTCATCTTAGAAAAGGTAGAATGCCCAAGGGGAGCATGCCAAATACAAGTAGGGTTAATAACATCCGGAAAAGAGCAACCAAAAGCAACACCGGAATCAATGGAACAAGAAGAAACAGAACCAGTGCAAGAAGTTAAAGACAAAGCATTGCGAGACAAACCATGATAAATATCAAACCCAAGGATATACAACCCATTCGCTTCCCTACCAATCCCTTTCATCCTTTCAGTGGATAGATCCTGAAAAAGACAAAAATCAAGATAAATTATACAAAGCAGTGTAGTTGTTTGTGGTAAATTTGGAAACTGAAAGCACGTTATGATGAAAATTATGAACAAAAAGGACATCATGAAGAACTTGATTCACATCAAGACGAAAAGAACCATGGTGTGTAACAGGGACAGTTCTACCATTGGGCAAGTGTACCGAACGAAAAGCAGCACATGAAACAGGAGACTCGGGCTCTGGAAATCAGATAAAATATGGCCCGTAGCTCATGTGTCAACAATCCAAGAAAGCAAAGAATCAGTAGCAGATAAACGACGATCAACAATACCCGCAAAATTCACATCTGTTTCTGTCTAATGAGTCTTGTTCAATAGAAGAAGAATCTACTCATACTACTCCCGAATGAAAGTAGAAGCAGCTGGAGCAGTAGCAACAACTGGACTAGCCACACCTTCCACACCAATAGCAGCGTCATCACTAGAAGTAATAACAGCAACATTCACACCCTTCTTTTTGATGAACATATAACCGGGAGGAAAATCATTAAGCCTATAACACTGGTCCTTCTTGTGCCCCTTAACCTATCAATAATCACACGTTCCAGAAAAACGACGTCGACCACTGCTACCAGTCGTGTTAGAAAAGAACATAGTGGATTCAGAAACCAAATTAAAGATGATCGACAAATGCGATCGTTGAAACTCTTCATAAACGAGCACCGAATAAGCTTTCTTAATCGAGGGAAGGGGCTGCATGAGCAATATTTGACTCCGAACCGCAACATAGCTCTCATTTAATCCCATCAAGAATTGAAATAACTTTTGTTGAACCAAATGCCTGGAATTCTGTTGTGAAACCTCACACTCACAGACAGTGAAAAGGGTGAGGGCTTCATACTCATCCCAAAGAAAACACAGGCGAGTGAAGTAACCGAATACAGTAAACTCACCTTGACAGAGAGTAGCAATTTCCCGGTGCAAGAAGAAGATTCGAGACCCATCTACCTTGTCAAAACGATCCTTGAGATCTCTCCAAACCACCGTCACACTCAACGCAAACACAATCCCAACCGATAATTCTTTGCTGACCGAATTCAAGATCCAAGAGAGCACCACCGTATTGTAGCGATCCCATTGTGGATGCAACGCCGCCGCATAATCATTCCTCTGACAGGAACCATCCACAAACCCTAGCTTAATTTTTGCAAGCAGGGTAATCATCAACGAGCGACTCCAAACGCAATAGTTCTCCAGGCCAACCAACAGTTGAGAAACTAGCATCATTCCCGGCATATCAGACGGATGAAGGTAGAGTGGGTAAGTAATCTCAATGGCTTTAGAGTCGACGAGATCGTCAAAGAAGAAAAAGGGAAAAACCAATCAAAGAAGTACAAAGCGGGGAACGCGAACCAATAAAACAAAACGGATGCCAAAGCCTAAAAAAACAAAGTGGACCAATAAAGTAGCCCAAAAAAGAAAGCCTAGCTAACTGATACCATGTTAAAACTAAGCAAACAAGGAATATCTAGAATAATGTTTCTTATTAGATTAATTCATATGTATAGAACTTATATATGTATATATATATATTCACAACTAACCTACAGTTACAACAGTAAACAACTGCCTAACCTCCTAGTTAACAACCTACTAACCTCCCAACACTTTCCTTCAAAGTACTATTCTTTTCGATATAGTTGGCGTTGAAGACGAGGGTATTGTGTTGGAGCCTAAGTTTCCAGCAGTCAATAGGAAATATCAAAACCGCCTCATCGTTGTACATCTCCAAAGAACATGATCATTGTCTTCATCGCGAATTTTGCAGAACATATATCAACCATCTTCACTTAATGGTGTATTCTATGTTCATTATTAGTAACTTTCCATGAAAGAAAGACCCGAATTCTTTGATGGACTTGCATGCGCCATATATTCTTCCACTCGACTGTGAGATTAACACTATTAGAAGATGTGATATGGGCGTAAGCTGATTTGGTTGACAAAGCTCTATTGTTTTCCAACTTCCATCATATTCCATCTTCGCCTAATGTCATCCGAGGGGGTGGAATCGCAGCAATTTTCAAGGTTACTTCATTTGGCAGAACTTTATTTAAAGCTTCCCAATTCCAATCATGTGCGTTTGAGCATCAGCTTGCCACTGAGGAATGGTCAGATACGTTGAGTGCTTCCTCCTCGTGCATAGAAGGGACTTCATTATCAAGCCAAGAATCGTGCCGGTATAGTGACCATCATATTTCATTCGACCGATTGACTAGGTTTCTAATCTTTGCTCCTTCGTATTCTCTTATAGGTTCTAGACTCACTAAGAGCACTACTCGTCCTTCCCCTCGAGTCTCATTTCCCCTCCCCTCTATGTAAGATTAGTATTAGATTTAAAATTTGTGAAAAAATATTAAATAAACAAATAAGTGAACTATCTAGATAAAATATGATCTTAAAAAATATATATGATAAATATGAGCCTAAATTATCTAAAATACATAATAGAGTTATAAACTGAATTTAATTATAAATAAATAATAAAATATTAAATTTCAAACAATTTTTTAAATGTGTTATCTACTTATATTAGATAAAACAAACGTAGTATAAATTACTACATTCGATTAATATGTTTCAAGGTTTGTATGCTCCAAATCTAATGTCCATTCTTGGCAATTAAACTACACACTAGCGTATGCCCTAACAAAATGCAGTTAATTAGTAATTTATACTTAATCTGAATGTTTTTTAAATTATTTAGATTAATATTTATGTTTATTAGAAACAGGTTTACATCTATAATAGTTAAAGATAATTTTTCAGATCAAACATTGATGTTTAACTGGAATTAAAGAAACGCAATGATTTACCGGTAAATTATACTTGTGATTACTAAAGTTTGAGTTTTATTATTTTAGTCATTAAAATTTTAAAAATTTTATATTAATATTTTTATTGATAAATTATAGTATATGAGTTTTAGTCCTAGCTTTCATTCTTTTTCTTGTGTTGTCACTTGTTTCTTTTTTCTTCTTCATCTTTGTGATCAGCGGCGACACCAGTCTTAATATTAATCATCGATCGTTGAAATTCATTATTTTTTATTTTATTTTATTGTATCTTTATTTTTCTTATTTTTTAAAAAAATTAATAACTCTACATTTATGACACATTTTCTATCTTTTAACATGTTTTCAATCATTTGGCCATTATTTTTGTTTATCATTTTTTTCAAGGTTGGATTTGACACTACCACGACTGATTATGATGGTTGAAGGTCTTTCAATAGTTTGATATCCTTTTATAGTTCTTTTCTCAATACAGTTAAACCATGAAATTTTATATCTTTTACTGATAATATGTATTTGCCTCTTAAAATTTATAAATTTATTTCTTGACATAAAATGTAAAGTATCAATGGACAATCTTCTTAATTTTCCCAAACCTTTGTCTTCCTAGCATTTGTCTCAGGCAACTCCTGACGTTAGTTTGATTAAGTAGTAAACAGAACGAAATTGAGCAAATAAATAACAAGTACAGACGCTATTTTGGTTAAGTAATTGAAGTATTATCAGAACATAAGAAATCAAGACCCAAACACCTGAGAAAAGCTAGTTTAGCAAGCCTGAAATAGTAGCATGGATGATGTAAACTCTCCTCATCTTCTTCCTTCTTCTTCAAACATCCCTCCATTTCCACACTCTCTTCTCCTCCCCCATTTACTATCCTTGTGCTTGTTGCGCCTCTCTCTCCCTTTAGGCTCTGCTTTTCTCCAACCTGAAATCACCCACCACTATTAAAGCCCACACTTACTTTCCCATTATTCGTTAATAATTCTAGTAATATTTTTTTAATATTAAAATATTACCTATAATATTTTATTTTTCAGAAGTGACACCCATTTAGTCACATAATACAAAGGACGCTTATATTAAAGAGTCTTCCTCAAAGAAAAATCTTTACTTATGTATTGAATCGTCTAAAATATGAACATAATTTATATTTTGCATATAATATATCGCATAAATAAAGGAGCTTTCTTAAGTAAAAGAATCTTTAAAAGGGTGTTGCCATGTTCACTTGTCTTCTTCTTGTGTGGCAGAAAAATGTCATTCTGAGAAATAATTTCTTTTTGGATGTTATCTTGATAAATAAAGATTAAAAAATTATTATTTTAATAATTTAACCTCATTACGTAAAGTGAAAATGTATTTTGGAACACATTTTCTCCACTCGGTTAAGGACATTTTTGAATTTTTGGATTGGCAAATAGAAATTACAAAGCAAGTTTGAATTAAGTTAGGACCACAAGATGTTGAAAAAGGATACCGCAGACACCAACCACAACAGTTTAAAACATTATAATGTTAATCGGAGATTATACTAAATTAATACTAACAAACAAGAAAACTAATATTCAATGAAAATAAATGAATTCCAAATCATACTAGGAAAAAGGAATTGCTTCTTAGAAATTCTCAACCTCGTTGTTTAGTTAACAAAAAAAGGGCCGTTTTGACCCTAAAATCACCCTAAAAATAAAATATTATCGATCAATCATCATTTCTCAAGTATTTCCTGATCTAACCACTCTTTTAAAAGATAGAGAAGATTTTCCCTTAAAAGCGCATCATTTTAGGAGAGTTTTATCATGGTTTTGAATTCCATGAAAGACGAATCCATGGGGCGCACCTTCTCCATTTTTATTATTTTATTAATTAATTTTAATATTCAATAATTTTTTATTATTTAATTATAAGTTTGTTTAGTTTATATTTATTATTTATAATTAAAAAATGGCATGTGGAATGTTATGATTATATGTTAATCATATTTCGAGTTATTTTGTTAATATTATAAAAATATGATATTATATTCTTTTTAAATTTTTAAATATTAGAAAATCGATTATATATTATTTAAATTGTTATAGAAGAACATACGCTTTTGAATTTTAATTTTTTATTTAATTATTTTTATATAATTAAATAAAAATAATAAAAATTATTAAATAAAAAATTAATTAATAAAAAAAATAGAGAAGACGTATCTTTAAAGATACGCCTTTTAGAGAATCTAAAATCGGATAAAGCTTAGGATGCGCTTTCAAGAAAAAATCTAGTAATTTTATTCTCTTTTCTGTTAAGACGTTTTTAATCAAACGTGCCTCTCTCTCTTCTCCTTAAATGTTAGATTAAAAACTATTTAAGAAAAGATGATTGATGAAGAATATTTTATTTTTAAGGTGATTTTTTTTTATAAAAAAGTCTAAAAAGGGCCCAATACTGTTTTCCAAATTCCATTCTGTACTATACAATAATATAAAAGTTAAAAAAGGGAAAAAGAATGATCCAAACTTGAAAAAAATTAGCAAGAAACTCCACTTTATGCATCGTTTTCAAACTCTACCCGATTCTTCTTGGAATTAACTCAAAACAACAGAATGGGTGAGACCCATTTGAATAACGAAATGAGTAAGGAAGAAAGAAGTGGATACCTGGCAAGCAAGTGCTGTAGTTTGGGGTATTATGCCCAACTGGAAATCAGGGAAAGATGAAGACGACGAAGAGACTTGGGGGGGAGATCCAAAACAAAGAGAGTGAAGCCATAAAGAAGAATGATGAGAAGTAGAAGGACAAGTATTTGGATCCATATCAGCCATCCAATTCTGTAGCTTTCAATTGTTACTTCATCCCCAAAATCAATCATCTTCTTCTTCTTCTTCTTCTTCTTCTTCTTCTTCTTCTAATGCAACAACTATTCACAAAATTGATATTTCTCGAGGGGAGAAAACAACAGGGAAGGGATGGGGAAAACAAGTCTTTGAAGGGAGTCAGGGGTGGGTTGAAATTTGATTTGTAATATAAAAATTTAATATTTTATTATGTGAGTCAAAACTTACTAATAAAGAGAAGAATTTCAGAATTTAAATAGAAATTTGGAAAAGGAAATATATATTATTCTGGTGTAATATCCAAAGAAAGAAAAGAAATATATTTCCGGTGCAGAGGAACACGAGCGCGAGGACAGGCCACGGCGGCGACACTAAACTCACGTGTAGATTAGGGTGAATATTCAGTATAATTTAATAAATTCTAAAACATAAACACTAAATACTAAAAATTAAACTTTAAACACTAAATCTTAAACCCTAACTTGTAAATTCTAAAATTTAAATTATAAACTCTAAATATAAAACTAAAATTGAGCAACGAAATTGGAAAAATTAAAAAACTTATCCAAACCGAATCATTTGATTCGTTCAATTTGAGTTTTTTCAATTTGTGATTTAATTTAAAAATATAATTATACAATTCAATTCGATTTCGATTTTTTCATAGGAGAACCATTTGTTCAAAAGGAAATAATTATTTGTTAGGATTTTGAGGCTCTATCGACAATTGAAAATTTAGTTAAGAAGGGTGAATTGACTTTTTGAAATTTTGGGAAATGAGGAGAAAGTATAGGAAAAGTAAGACATAATGATTTATAGTGATTCGACTTCTAAATCAAGTCTACATCCACTACATTAGCTCCACACTAAAGATTTTCTAACAAATTTACTAATTTGTTCTTTCTTTTTCTATGATCAAGAGTAACCTTTACAAAATTTCCTAGTTTTCAATAGCTAAACTATAACCACTTCCTTTTTACAAAAAGGACAAAGAAGTAAACAAGAATACCTCATAAAGGTAGGTGTTTACACAACTAAGCTCACAAAAACACTCTATGTACAAGAGAAGAAAAAATAAAGAATGAAAAGCTTTTCTCTTGATCTTGATTGCTTGGATAGGTGTTGTAACCTTCTTCAAGTGTCATAAACTTATTTTTATATGTTAGAATGAATTTGTATCCATTTCTAACCGTTAGGGATGTTTTGGAGTCGTTGGTAATTAATTTTCTACAAAATAAAATTGACTAGAACTTGGAGTATCGGTACTCGGGCAAGGAGTATCGATACTGCCTTTGTAATTTTTAAATAAACTAGTCGTTATCGAACATTGGGCTAACTAGCATTAGTAATAGGGTTTCATGGTATAAATTCTATTATGTAAAGTAATACCAGTTCTCCTTGAGTATCAATACCAATTTTGCTTACTGAAATTTGAACACTTTAGAAAACAGTAGGTAGCATCGATACTACTCTTACCTTTGACATTAATACTACAAGAACATTATCGGTACTGTTCATGAAGTATCGATATTGTAAGGACAATATCGGTACTATTTACCCAGAAAATCTATTTTGTGTTCAAATTCAAGTTTTATGGACTTTGAATTATTTTTGAAAACTTTAAATAAGTTCAATCAAGTAATACAAACATTTTGACCTAAAAAGTGTTATATCAAAATTGGTTTAACAATCTCCCCTTTTTATAACATAACATTTGACAAATGGTTTTTAGTAAAAAAACTTTCTCTTACTAAAACATTTAATGAAAGAGAGAAATATTTTAAAATATATTTAAGCTCTCCTTTTTCATTTGTTGTGTAACAACCTGGAAAATTTAGAATAATATTAAATTGAAATTGGAGGTTAATTGTGAAAATTGGTAAATTTTGTTGGGACTAAATTGAAATATTTTAAAACTTGGAGCTTGTTTTAGAGTTAAAGGAAATTCAGGGACCAAGCCCTAAATTTATCCTAAAAGTGTCGGCAGCTTTGGTGATTTAAGCGTGTTTCTGGTTTCAAATCAGAAACCACAAATGTTAAATTGCTTAAGTTTTTCTCCTCCCGTACCCTTACTTCCAAGCCCGATTCCGACGCCGTTCGACGTCCAATCGTAAAATTGAAACCACCGTTGTGTTCATCATCAAGCGAGGAACAAACCCTTCAAATTAATTGAAGTGAAACGCTGCCAAACGTCGGGAATTTTCAGTCAAAGCATCGTCGTTTTTTTAGCTCTATAGCCGGGAAAAACTTAAATTCACCGCCGATCGTTGTTCCGTTTACGACACCTCCTGCATCATCGTGTTCCTTGTGTCGTTGCGAGCCCGCCGGTGTCAACCTTGTTCGCCGTCGACGGCGGCGCGTGAGGAGGTGGAGCAGTCAAAGATTCGGCCGAGTTGAAATACGAGCTCTCCGCCGTTCAAAAATTTGAACCGATCGTTGTAAGTATCTCGAAATCGCTCAAAATAATTTTTAGAAATTTTTCCGGGAATTTTCCGACACCGTGGCACTGTTCATGCGCCGCACGCGCCGCCGCAGGGAGAGTGAGCTGCTGGAAAACCGGTTTGACCAGTTTTGAACCGGTTTGACCGGTTCGAACCGGTTTGACCGGTCTGAACCGGTTTGACCGGTCTGAACCGGGTTGACCCGACCCGACCGTTGACCGCGACCGTTGACCGTTGACTTTCTTTGACTAAAACTTAAAATGGCTTTGACCGACCCTTAAACGACCGTAAATCTTTTCCGAGTATACCTATCTTGATAGTTTTCGACGTGCCAAATCCATTTCCGCAGTTCGTTTCGCTAAATTCAAACCTGAAGGTCTCCAAATCAACGATCAAAGTGGTTGACTTTGACTTTGACCAAGAATCTGAATTTCCGAAAAGTCATACTTTATATTTTTCGACGTCCTGATTCCGTTTCCGCAATCCGTTTGGCCAAATTCAGACTCGAAATACCCCAAATTGATAGTCAAACTCGAAAAATGCTTATATACTTAAGAAGACTAGTTTTGAACAATTAAATAGGATTTGAGACTGATAAATATTATTTTTTGAAGGTACAAGAGACTCTCCGGATCGTTCGACAGCTCGACCCAGCTCTTCTAGATCAGTTAAACCACGTGTGCCAGTATTCACCCGTTCGAAAATTGTAGCAGAGCGTGGTGAAACCAACAATCAGTAAATTTGCTATTTGAACCTATTGTCGAGGTGTGTTCCCTACTTATTATTGAATTGTTTTATTGGTTTTAATATGTGGTACACCGAATTCATTGGCTATTGTTTTATGGATGCACCAATTTAATGTGACAATTTATGGAATATGGCTGCTATCTAATTTTTGTTTTGAAATGGTATATGATTACCATGTTTTTGGATTTATGGAATTTATGTCACGGTGCAATTGAATTTTGGAATTGAAATACGATGGAATAGCTCTGATCAAGCTAATTGGGCCTAATGTGACTCTTGAGGGCCCCAAGATGTTTCATTAGGTCGGCTTTCCTTTGCTGTGTGCTTAGGGTAAGCTATATGGACTTATTGACTTGGGCTTAAGGATACAAGCTTCATAGCCTATCCTTAAGTCGGCTTTCTTTTTACTATGTGCATAAAGTAAGCTATATGGAAAATACTTTTGGGAACTACTGATGGTGTACCAGAAAAAGGGTTTAAACTATGATTTTCAAAAAGTTAAACTCTTTTACGAATTTGTGAGATTACTGGACTATGATTTGTACCTATGGTGATTTTATGGAAATGTTGGGACACACTGAGCCTAGCTCACCTTTTGAAAATGTTTTCCCCTTTCAGATACTGTTGGTTAGATACCTTGGTTCGAGCACTTGGAGGATCAACATATCTCTTGAAGTAAATCAAATTGTAATGTTTTTATCTGGCAAGTTGACTTTATTTTGGTGACATGGACCTTATTTTAAAATATCGGATTTTATAATGATAACTCTTTTACTAATACTGCTCGGTTTATTGTGATATTGAATTTGAAGACGTGTTTTAAATTAAATTATTATTTATTGGTACTATATTTACGAGTTGGATTTTGATAGTATAATTTGTTTATAATTTTATGTTATTTATAATGTGATTTTATATTGATGGAATAACGGTTTCGAAAAATGTCTTTAATAATCATAATGTGATCCACTAGACTTAGTCGAAACGCATAGGCCGGGTCTAGGGGGTTACATTTATTGGTATCAGAGCTTTTGGTTTTTAACCCTCGGACTGTGTATGAGTCCACATTGAAAATATGGTTTTGAAATATTTTACAAAACGGGTTACTAAGGCCATGTCACAAAATTATTAAGATTTTTAACTGTGTTCGAAACTTCAAGTGCTGATCTAACCTTAAGTTTCATCTTCTGGAGTAAACTTGAGATCAATCGAAATTAGTGCTAGACGTGGTCGTCAAACTAGCCGTGGACGAGATCGAGTGGCTAGATTTACAGACCCGATCGATGGGATACGAGTAGATTCCCCACCTCCGTTAGGTGATCCTGCTCCTACGACCCCAATGAATATGCCTTCTGCCACAGGTATTGGCATGACTACATCGATCATAGTAGCGACTAATATTGAGTCATCAGCACAGTCCGGGAAGAGGACTCGTACTTTGGCCCCTCGGAGAAGCAATACACGTTTTAGGCCTGCAGCATCCTCACCGTTAATTGGCAGTCGAGACGGTTTCTCGTCGTATTATCATGGACTTCTTTGTGAGTATTGTGGTAAACAACACACAGGAGAGTGTCGTAAGAAGATGGGTCTTTGATATCAGTGTGGATCTAGTGGTCATTATCGGAGGGATTGTCCTCAGCTAACTTTGTTTGAGTATACCACTACTCAGACTCTTGTGCGTTCTCAGATTACAGTACAGACCCCAATTAGAGATCGTAGTCAAGGAAAGACTCGAGAATCAGCGTCCAGGACAGAAAGTAGAGCCCGACCTCATCAAAATAAAGGGCCAACAGCTTCTGAGGCTAGACAGCCAACTTTGGGTTATGCCACTAGATGTCGGGAGAACATAGATAAACCGGAGGTTATT